GAGTAAAGGAGATGCCAGGTCAGCTACGTCTCCTTTCCAGCAACGTTAGCAGCAGCAGCAGCAGAAGCTGGAGCAGAACATGGAGACCCAGCTCCTGGCAGGATGCTAGCCAAGCACTCTGTTCCCTCGACAGCTACATAGTTTACCTGTATGTTTGCGCCTTTCCGGCAGACTGTCAAAACAGGTGTGTTCCTGTGGTCAGACTCAGAATCTGCTCCCAAACAAGGTGAGAAATATAGAGTGACTGCAATGCGAAGGTTCTAGTTCCAAGGCAAACAGGTTTACTTTATTATTAGGAAGACTGGATGAATCCTTTTTAAATTTCTATTCACCCTTCGCACTCCGACTAAGCAAGCGGATTGCACTAAAATTTCCTGTTAATGAAAGAAAGGATGTTACCATATAAAATACACGGCCTCGTGCAATTTTGGTCATTTCTTTCCTAATGTTCTATCTGCCTTTCCTGGCACAGGATCATCTCTTGCAAACGCTCATGTTTTCATAATCTTTACAACGGTGCCAACAGATGGGGAGAAGTCGGGTCTTGTGATCCGATGTTACGGAAGGATCAACAACTTCTCTGCTTCTATATTTTACTCCCATTTGGATGTTACTGATGAGTTTGCTCTTCAACATAAGGAGTGGTTAGAATATGGCTGGACAACAGAGTTACGTAGGGAACGTCATTAACCAAGCATTCCCTTTACTTAACATTCAGAGATAAAGTCCTATAGCTATAAAAAGAATCTTGATTTTTTTTTTTCATTTAAATAGCTCTGCAAAGGATACGTGAAAAAAAAAAACACGTATTATTTTCCTAATGAGTATTTACTTGAAGAGAAGAATTATAAACTCTAAGATATGCGTTCTCTGCACAGTAGAGAATAACAGCTCTAATTAGCAACATTGAAACCTTACACACAGAGATTCTGAGGATAATATTGTTTCTCGTGTATTAATGTTCACTTCATTATCAAAGTAATAAGAACAATAGCTAACCCACTGAATAGTCATAAAGGGCCAGGCACTGTGCTCCGTGTTTTACATGTGCTATCTCATTTAATCTTTTTTTTTTTTGGTAAATATATTTTTATTGATTTCAGAGAGAAGGGGAGGGGGAAAAAGAGATAGAAACATCAATGATGAGAAAGAATCACTGATTGGCTGCCTCCTTGCACACACCCAGGCATGTGCCCTGACTGGGAATCAAACCGGGACCTCCTAGTTTGTAGGTCAGTGCTCAGCCACTGAGCCGCACTGGCCGGGCCAAATCTTCACAGATATTATCACTGCTGCAATTTGCAAATAAGGAAACTGAGGCTCAGTCAGGTTCCATCACACGTTTAAGGTCACCGAGCTCACCAGTGATTTGAAACCAGGGGGTCCGGTTCCAGAACTGCGGCTTCTAAACGTTTCACTAAAACTGCAACATGCGTTTTGGTTCACATTTCTTTGTTTATTTTAAGTTCCCCTTTAATACACAGACATTAGGAAATGTGTACATTTTATAATAAGTAATAAATATGGTCTTTAATGTGTGACCCGAAATTCCGTAAGTCCTCCACATGTATTAATTTATTTCAGATTCACAACAATCCAACAAGGCAGACAGCCTCCAATTTAGGGGCACATCTAAGGGATCCAAGGCATAGGGTGTCAGGTAAGCTGCCAGAGGTCAGACAACTACTAAGAAACAACTACTACGGAGCAAATGCAAGCCTCAGATCCAGTGAAGGCAGCCCCTGAGTTGTAGCTTTAAGTCTGTTCCTTACTCTCTGTCCTCTTGGAAGCTGATGGTGTTAGCCACATGGAGAGAGGGAATAAGGAAGTCAGGTCTGGCCAGGCCCCTAGCGGGAGGAGAATCTGCTATTCTTTTCAAAAATGTAATATGCATAAAGTACATAAGCTTATATAATACACAATTCTACATCCATTTCTCTTCACAGTGCTCACCAATTTGAGATTAACAAACACTGTGTTACTCAGATTTTTAAAAAGTGAAGGACAAATTCAATTTTCACTTTTGTTTCAAATGTATCGTATCTTCAGAGGTACTAGCAATAACCTTATTATCATCACAGTGCTGGTCATTCTGCTTTGGGGGATCACCACTGCTGGAAGTCATACTTGTACCTTACTCCATCATTGGCAAATACATTTAATTATGTGCAGGCCCAAGATAATAATTGTGAGCTTGGAGGAGGCTTCAGAAATCCAGGGATCGTCCCCTGAGATGGGAACTGAACCAACCCTGGACCAAGAGACTTCCTTGAATATTCAGCAGCTGAAACGACCGTCCTTGAATCTGCACTAAGCCCTCTGGGTCATCTCAGACAGCCCAGGCCCAGAACCGAGGGTCCCAAATGTAAGCCAGAAAACCCAGTGAAGAATACCAAGACCAATCTATCTCTTTAATTTGGCAGCAAGCCTGCCTCTCTGGACTAATTTTCCTTAGCTTCAGCTTTTGTGGCTTTAACCAAATCTAAATTAAATTAGCACAAGAAACCATGAAAACTTCAGAAAGACAATAATACAGTTACGGTGAAGGCATCTCATCTCTGGTAAAATTTAGCCACAAGTAAGAAGAAATGCAGTCATTTGATGGCATTTAGCAAGAAGAAATTTAGGTGTCCATGTGGCACAGTTTGAGGCGATGCATTAGAGTCTACTTACTCTCAATTTTTTTTAAATAATCAAGTTTCCATAGAAGGAAGATGTCAATTCTTTGCCTATTTCTGGACAACTATCCTCCCTGCAGAATTCTAGAGCAGTGCTATCAGACATTGTACCCACAAAAGATTGACTTTCTCTTTGGCTGACAATAAGATTTATCTGTCTTCAGTGTTAACACTGAATTAACACAAAAGTTATTCTAAACACATTTGACATCTTTTGGGTGAGCAAAACAAAGTGACCCCCATAGGCTATTACATAAGACAATCATAACAAATGGTTTTTATGGCCTTGGCAATACTAAGTGATACACTGGGAAGATCATGACTCATTTATGCAGTCATATAAATAAATAACTGCTAAACTTACCTAGTACAGTAACAATTCTTATTTCTTGCTGATGTTGATGTTAATGGTGGTGCAATTAAAAAAAACAGAAAAATAGCTGGCCCGTGTTGCCCAGTGGTTAGAATGTTGGCCCATGCATGGAAGGGTCTAGGGTTCAGTTCCTGGTCAAGGGCACGTACCTAGGTTGCAGGCTAGATTCTCCACTCTGGTCAGGGCTCTTGCGGGAAGCAACCAATGTGTCTTCTCACATGGGTGTCTCTCCCCCTCCCCACCCTGCCCTCTCTCTCAAAAGTCAATGGAAGACATATCCTCAGGTGAGTATTAAAAAATAATAATTAAAAAGAACATAGAAACATAAGTTTCTGATCATTTTAACATGTCACATTTAGAAAGATAGATCAATAGAAGTTAATGAATAAATTAGTATTTTATTCTCCAACTCTAACTGGGCCTACTCTCTTTTATTTAATTCCTTTAACTTGGCTTTATCTGGAAAGAAAAATATTAATGAATATCAACTCTAGGTGGTACTTGGGTCAAAACAGGTGAGGTTGCAGTGAGCTCCCAGCTTCTCCTAGAAACCAAACAATGCACCAACCAGAACCAATCCTTAACTAATACTAAGCCAGCCAAATATAAACTGGTGACCTAAAAGGGAAAAGCTCCAATTATGCATTACAATTTCCTGAGTCATTTTGTCCTCACAACTTTATGCTTTAAATAAACCTCTGCTTTAAATGCTGGCTAACGAAAACCTACGAGCAACTCAATGTGACTTAGTGTTTCCAAGTCAGGAAAAGGAAGAACTTTCAGTGTTTGAGATAACGTTTGTTTTCTGTAGTTTGGAAAATAAACATTTCCTATGCAGTTATTCCTGGGGGACAGCGTGTGTGTATGTGTGTGTGTGTGTGTGTGTGTATAAGAGTGGAGCAGGGGAAAAGAAAGAAGGGCGAGAGAGAGAGAGATTTTTTAGCAGTAATTTGGTGTTCATGTAAACTGCTTATTTTGTGCTGGAGTTAGAATTTATCTCAGCAAGTTATATGCACGTGAGCTGTGAAAGTATTGCAATTTAACATAAAATCAACAGGAAACACTTACTTGATTGCATATCGCATTTCTATGGATTCAATGATACATAATGATATAATCCATACAGTTACATACAATAGTAGAAGTCTTGGGTCTCTAAATTAGATTAATTTGATATTTCAATATACATAAGCCATTTTTCTACAATTAAATAATATTTTTCTGTATATCTTTGAATGAATAGATTTTATCCTGAGGTTCTGCTTATATAAATAGCTCAATTTTGGAAATGAAGTGTATTTTAATAAACACAGCTTTATAATTATTCAAAATGTGTGTATACCTATTTTGAGACACCCTATATTTGTCAAGTATGGATGGTTATATAACCTATCAAATGACATTTTAAGATATCAAGGCACTAATAAGATCTTTTACTGAAATTGTCCACCTTCCCATGTGTTAGTTGGAAATGCATCATATATGCTTGTCTTCCATATCTGTATACAGGATTGTAAATTAATAGAACAAAATGCCATTTCCATGTCAGGTATATACCTCTATCTACCAGTTCTGTAAATTCTGATTACACAACATTGAGTCAGGTATATCAGTGTTCCCATTTGACAGATGAGAACACTCGGAGATGTTCAAAAATGTGTCTAGGAAGATGTGCTCCAAAAATGCCCAAATACCTTGGATAGAAACCAGGTATTAATGGGATTCCACTAACCAACACATACACACACAGTGTTTACTGTTTTTGTTTTCTCTTTATAGGGACTGTCATACACACACACACACACACACACACACACACACGACATATAGAGTTATAACATATTTTTAAGAATTTATAAAAATTCTTAAAATAGTTGGAGATTGTTACTCCTTTGGTTGTCAGATAAATGCATAAGTGAAAATTATTTCAAACCAAATAGCATGCATACTTTAAGATGCAAAGAATACTTTTATGTAATCAACACATGAATGTAAACATGAGTTTGTTTTTTAAAAATAATACATTTTCTTTGTGTATGTATGGCATTGCGGGCTGGCCTAAGATAAGTCACCTCAGCTAAGAAGTAAACATTGTTCTTTTATTTTTACAGGGTTCTCTTAATCCCTAATAAAAAATTTTGCCCATTTTTGTTTTTATTTGTTGTTAATACAAATTTTGTTTTGCAATTAAATGCAACCAGTATTATTCCTTTTTCAAAAGTCCAGTTTCACTCTTAATTAGCTCATATCTGTCTTTTTTTATGGCACTTCCAGATCTACTTTCCTGTTTAAAATATTTCTACCCCCACTCTCCACCCTTTTTTTTCTTCCAGAAATGACTAATCTTCCTGTTATTCTATTCTGTCAGTTTTTCCCCTGTATTCTTCTCATGTTGCATAACATTTACTTTTCACTGACTTCTTTTAGAGTTTTGATACTACATTCTTTATGCTAGCCTTCTGTTTTCAACAAATTAAAATAGTCAATATTTACGGATTAGCTAATTTGACAATTGTGCTATGCAGATCAAATTTCTCTTTAAGTCAAAAATGCAACTATTCTTTCACTTGACAGAATATAAATATCCAATTTTTATATATGTTTTATATATAAAAATTAAATGCAGTCTAAGCCTCAGACTTACCAGATAGCACCATTAAAGGGCTATACTTTTCTTCTCTTAAATGTTTTACTAAAGTGCTAACAAAGAAACAGAATACCATCTCTAGAACTCTCTTGCTTCCCAGCAGTTATCCATGACATCATAAAACATGTTAGCATAGACAGACCTATAAGCAGAATGTGAAGTGGTTCTATCTTTCTGATTTTCAATTGCAAAAAAAAACAACTTCTAATTACATGCCAAAAAACTGCCTTCACCCTAATCTCAAATGATTATAACAGCTACATAATAGTAGCTGAACATGAGTAAAAAAGTCGTTTCTATTCCAGAGAAGACATCTGAGAAGATTTTTAGAATTACAATGATTTAAATAGTCATTATATTAAAAATTTACAACACAATATCACATGCCTACCAAAACAATATAAATCACAACCTCAGGTTTACATAGCACATTGTTTTGATTAATTCAATATTATATCACCGTCATTACCTCACGGTACAGTCACAGAATTCTTTAGAGGAAGAAGTGTCGCACTAGTCCCATTCACAGAGGCCACCGATACAAGATGTTCCAAGAGCTTTAGAAACTGTACATTTTCTAAAATTCAGAAACACCTTCAAAACTCCTAACAAAAACAGTTTCATTATAGGAGATAAAGACATCCATAAAATGTCAACCTTATCCCTAAAACAGATGTCAAATGAAGTTCAAATACTTGCTTATATTAAAATAGCACAGAATTCCACCACTTAAAGTAAGTGAGTCTTGGGGAGAATCCCCATTACTCCACCTTCCTATTTTCCCAAATAATAATAACATCCTTGTTTGTCACATGTAATATCCTATATAGAAATATTTCATTTGCTTTGGGTCAGCAGGAGCAACTTAATTTTCAAATCCCCTTGTTATCCTACTTTAGACACAAGGGCCACGGAATCTAAGAGCAGCTAAAATTATTATTAGTTCAAATGTATAGTATAAACACTAAATATTATAGTAAGCAAAACAGATTCATAAACATGTTTATTTTTTAATCACATCACATTATGAGTAGAAAACAAACCCAAACTGTATATTCTATGGAAAAGCAAAGCATAGATCTACATCCCCAGCAGCTAGCACAGTGCTGGCCAAGGAAAAAAATGCTCAATGTGTATATTCTAAGTGAATAAATGCCATCACATGGAAGTATAGTTATAGTAAAAAATAAAAGAAGAAAAAGGGACTTTATGGCACCACAAAAAATAATGTTACCAAGGTATATCAATTAAAAAAATATAAAAGATTTGGAGAAATAATTAAGATAATTTATCCAGGGAAAACTTGGTAAAAATCTGTTGGAATAGCTGAAACCGGTTTGGCTCAGTGGATAGAGCGTCGGCCTGCGGACTGCAAGGTCCCAGGTTCGATTCCGGTCAAGGGCATGTACCTGGGCTGCGGGCACATCCCTAGTAGGAGATGTGCGGGAGGCAGCTGATCGATGTTTCTCTCTCATCGATGTTTCTAACTCTCTATCTCTCTCCCTTCCTCTCTGTAAAAAATCAATAAAATATATTAAAAAAATCTGTTGGAATACTTTGAACATATCTATATGGAGTTTATATTAGAAGATAATGTCTGATTTGAAAATTGACAGAATCATGCATTTTCTCCACCTTCTGATATGGAGTTTCCAATTGGTTATTATGTAAAGCTCTTTATAGAAAAACTCTAGGTAATA